ATAAATCAACGCATTTTAAATCTCCACATATCTCGTGAAATCCTGGACTCATTGCCTAAGCCAAAACCCGCAGAAGGGCGGGAGTGAGTGGGAGAGAGCTAGCGAGCCACAGGACACGTTCTATTGAGAGCCAAGGTTCCCAGAACCTCTCAGCAAGCTGCTGCGCTCTCTTTGAGCGGCAGCGCGGGAAGCTCTCAGCCCGCTTTTGTTCGAGCGCGCTGCGTCTGGGCGTCTCTGCTCTCAGGACTCTGCAGCCGCTTGTAGCAGAGAGTGCCACTGCTGGAGGTTGTGGCTCTCTGGACCGCCCTGACATCTGTGTGCAGGCGCATGGGCGCTGACCTGAGCCGGCGCCCAGGCTGCCCCCCTGCCCGACCGGGCGCGAGATCTGCCCAACAACTGTAATAAAATCAGAGGGCAGCATATGTATCTTACATGGTGTATTTTATATGTGTGTCTTATTTTATATTTTTATAGCTTTCTGTTTTATAGCTTCATTCTCTAATCATTGGGCAAAATTCAAGCTGACTTCAATGGAGAACATCACAGAAGTGACAGAATTCATCCTGCTGGGGTTGACAGATGACCCGATCTTCAGCTTCCTCTCCTCCTGATATTTTTATTCATCTACCTCTCCACTCTGATTGGAAATGGAGGATTGATGGTCCTCATCTTTTCAGATTCCCACCTCCACACTCCCATGTACTTCTTCCTCAGTAACCTGTCTTTTGTCGATCTGGGATACTCCTCAGCTGTAGCTCCCAAGACACTGGCTACACTACAGCCAGGGAACAAGGTCATCTCATATAATGGGTGTGCAGCTCAATTTTTCTTCTTTGGAGGGTTTGCCACTGTTGAGTGCTATCTTCTGGCCTCCATGGCTTATGACCGCCATGCAGCAGTGTGTCGACCTCTTCATTACACCACCACCATGACAAAGGGTGTGTGTACCATCCTGACCATTGGCTCTGACACCTGTGGCTTCCTCAATGCCTCAATCCATACCGCAGATACCTTTAAACTCTCTTTCTGTGGTTCTAATAAGATCAATCATTTTTTCTGTGACATACCCGCACTTCTGGCCCTTGCTTGCTCCAGCACACACATCAGTAAGTTGGTCGTCATTTTTGCTGTGGGATTCAATGTCTTTTTCACTCTCTTAGTAATTATCATCTCTTACCTCTTTATATTCATTGCTATTCAAAACATGAAGTCTTCTGAGGGACGAAAGAAGGCCTTCTCCACATGTGCTTCCCACCTCACTGCTGTGTCCATTTTTTATGGCACGATCATCTTCATATACTTGCAGCCCAGTTCTGGTCAGTCCAAGGACACAGACAAAATAGCATCTGTGTTCTACACTGTGGTGATTCCCATGTTGAACCTCTTGATCTATAGCCTAAGGAAAAGTGCCCTCTGGAAAATACTCAACAAGTTTTACCTTAAGTCTTTTAGTGTGAGCAGGAAGTAGACGGGGCAGTAAGGAATAGATTGCCTCCTGGGCAATTGCAACTGTTGAAGTCTGAAGAATTTCAGTTTCACCTTCCCCAAGAATAGTGGTTATTTAAGTTTGTAGGAAAAGGGATAAAAAGCAACACTTGGAAATGTTTCCTTCTGGAAGATGATGAACTTATGTTGAACAGATATAATCTGGGACATTTATAGTTTTTATACAGAAGTGTATTAATGAGGTAGTTTAAAGCAGATCAAAGCACAAAGGTAAATGTGGCAAATTTCCACTACCTTGTTTTTATCTGCAAGAAAAATTTACTATTAAATTTAGTAGAAGAATCACACGTTCAATTTTATTTATTTGTAATTTCAGTGTGTGTTTTAGCATGTATGTGCACATGTGTGTGTGTGTGTGTGTGTGTGTGTGTGCATATGCCTGTGCATATGCATGTGGAGACCAGTGGCCAACTTTGTGTCTTGTTCTCCAAACTTTTTTTTGAGGCAATATCTCTCATTAAACACAGAACTCATCAAATAGGCTAGCAAGCTCAGCATCTGCCCATCTGTATTTCCTCAGTTCCGGTGTCACAGGCATATACTGCCTTGCCTATCTTTTATGTGGGCACTGGGAATCTGAACTCATGTCTTCACGCTTATGTGGAAAACACTTTACCTAGTAAGTTATCTCTCAGCCATGTCATTTTAATTTTTCAGTCAGCTAGAATGCAGTGTTATGCTTTGTAATTTTTTTTGGCCCATGGTTTAGAAAACTAAAGTTCCATTTGTTATTATTAATTATTCTTTTCATTGTACATATTTATGGATTATATGACACGAAACTAAATCTACACAATGATCAAATCAGGGAAATTAGCATTTCTGTCTATTTATTAAACATTGTTTGATTAGTATTTAACTTTATAATACCAACTATGTATCCTTTATAGTTTTGAATGATGTTACTGAGAGTGATAGAGTTTGGACTAAGAGTCAGATGATTTAGGATCAAATCTTATTTCCTGCTCTCTGTCTCCTCTCACTTTCCTATTTTTGCTTCCTAGTTGCATGCCTCTGTATTCTCCATCTGCTTTTACTAAAGTGCTGAGTTAGCTTTGTTAGTAAGTAATAAGACACATGGAATAAGGGAACAGTTACAATAGACAAAGTGCTTAAATTCTAACTTGAGTATACACAACTTTCTTTGGAGAGGATGCTCTGCATTCTGTTCTTTTGGTTTCTGTCCAATATTTTTACCAATATATGCAGAAGATTTTGAGAAAACAGGTAATTGTTCCAAGGGCCAGGAAAAAGAGATTGAATTGAATTTATTGCATTTCTCAGAGCTATAAATTTTGGTAAATTTAATATAAATAAAAGTAATAGCATTCTAGACCTATGCTTTTATTTTTATTTTTTCATTAACCTCCCTCATCTCTGGATTCCTGTTGCATTCTGGTATTTTTCAATTAGATACTGTAAGAATAAAAAATTCTGCCTGGAAATTTATGTTTTTTAAGATAAGAGTAACTCAAAGACGCACAGTGCAAACCCCATCTTCATACCTTGTTTCGTGCACTAAACGATGTAAGCAAGTGCATCTGTAGGAGAAGGAAGTAGTAATTAGCTTCTGCTCCTAACATACCAACTGCTTGATGGTGTTTATAGATATAATTAATGTAATTCACTGTATAATCCAGGATTTCAAAATCTAAAGAGCTTTTGCTTTAACAAGAACCAGAGGCTCAGAATTTGGGCTGTTAGACAGTGTGCCCTAGACATGACAGGGAAATGTACCCATGAACTCTGAACAATATAGCTCTGTGAGCAAGATAAACATAATGACACTACCAATCAACAAGACATATATATGTAACAACAATAGTTGAAGAGGACATCATGAATTTGGGAGGGAAGGATGTGGGAGGAGTTGAATGGGGGAGAGGAAACTGTGACAGTAATGGAGGTAAAGCACTCTTGTATGATGTTCACATAATGTAAAAATGTAAAAAAAAATTAAAAGATAAAAGTAAAGAACAAAATAATAGTAGTTTAAAGTAGACCTGATGCCATTATAACATCAGTGTATTAAAAATTAATAATCTACAGACCAATTAAATACAATGATGTCAAATGAAAAATATGAAAAAAAACCTTTAAAAAGCCTTCAACTGAAATATATTAATTCTTACTTCAAATATAAACCAAAGAAATAACTTATGTAGAGTTCAAAATTTAGTTTTCTGAGTGTACACAGGGAAGTCCCTGTCTGAGAAGGATACTTCACAGGTCTTGTGAAGAAAGAAGCAAAGGAGTTTTTGACTAGGAGACCAAAATATAGGAAAACAAATTTTCCTGTTACATGGCTACTACTATGTGAAAACATCAGGAGCTTCTGCATTGGAGGCCTGGAGAACTCACAGAGACTTTGTCTGTCCTCTAGCATTTCTGTCCTTCAGCAAGGAGGCACATCCACCTTTCACAGGGACAAACAACCTTTAATGCTCAGGATCCATTGCACAATAGGTTCCTTCTCAGTGGCCTATGGAACTGAAGAATGATGGATTTGGAGATGAGTCTGGCAGGAAACTGTTCAAGCATTTAATGCATTCCAGTCTTGACTTTACATCCTCTTTCTGCCCTCTGTTTCCACTTTCCTTTCTTATTCTCCCTTCTTCTTCTTGTCCTCTTAAGCTCTTTCTATTCATACTTATATCAAGACTTTTCCTCATCCCTATGACATTTAGAGCTCTGAATTTTTAAGTTCAAGATGTAAATTCTACAACCATTATAGAACATCGTAGATTGAGTTTCTATGTGTATTTATTTACGGCTCTAACCCCCATGTAAAGGCAGAAAAGTGTGAGTCTTTCCATACTTAAAGGTCAAAAAGCCTCTATCCTGCTGTTTTCTGTCAAACTCACCTCAAACAAATGGAGTTTGTATTTAAGTGTTTACAAGAATCCTAGTTCTATTGTCAGGAGCTGGGTAGAAATACTTATTCTTTTTGTTTAAAGGTCTACTTCCTCAGATAACTCTTTATGATACACATAATCTTGTCTTGAATGACTAAATACAGGCAGAGGGACTAGAAACAGCTTGAAATGTAAGTACCTTTCCAACTCATCTTCGGACTTTATTTTATGTTATTAACCTTTTCTTCACTCTTTGTGAATTTCACATGTACCCCTAAATCCCACTCATCTTACTGTCCCTTCATATCCACCCTCTAACCTTGCAATCTCACCTCAAAGAAAGCAAACAGACAGACAGAGAGACAGACTGATAGACATATCATGAAAGCTGTGGTGTGTCATGGTGTGTCCCACAGTATACCCTTTTACTCAAACAGCTTTTCTTGCAAATGTTCATTTCTGTGGTCAAGGCCTCTGGCTTCTGTTGTCATATTAATACTGGATCTTCACTGGGGCTCCTTTCTGATATTTTATTGTGGCTCTGTGTCAAGGAGATCTTGCAGCTTTAATTCTGGAGGATCTGTCCATTCACATGTTCCATCAGTCTAAGATGGGGTAGATGTTGGGGTAAACCAACTGAAAGTCCTGGATCTGGGCCTGGGTGGTAATTGAGTTGGACAGCTTCACAGCTCAACTTCCCTTATGTCCTTGAGGCCAGCAGAAGTTGGCTAGCTCTACTGTGCTGCTCATATAATGTGCAGGGCCTGTTCTCCCAAGTGCTTCATCCAGTGAGGGGCTGGAAAAGCTCTACTCAGCCCTCAGACATCAGAATGTCTTCAGGAGGCAGTCCAGAACAGGGATGTCTACATGACCTTTGGTAGTAACATGGACCGTGGACATCAACACAGACCACTGCTGCAACAGGATCACACAGACCCAGACATTACTCTTGGCTGCAGCATGGGTCAGGACTTCACTATTCCTTCAGGTGGCATCTCAGGGTACTCAGATCAGGCTCTTCGTCACTACCCACAGGTCTTCAGTTCTACCTGTCTTCATTGTACACACACACAATTCAGCTTCATTTTCTCTTACATCTTTCCACCACTTACTTGCTTTTTTAGTAGTTCCTGGGGCTTCTGGGCGTCTTCTAGGTAGCACTAGGGGAGGAGTCATCTTGGGAGTACTATGCCTGTCCATGCCATCCAAAATCCTTATTTTTATTAACTATATGATCTCAATGATGTCATACAAACTCTACATCTCTCTACTTCTCCTCAGAAAAGAACAGGTCTCCCAGGGCTTTCAAACAAACATGACATAACAGACAGTAAGACCAGGCACATACCATCACATCTAGGCTGGATAAGGCAAGCAGTAGGAGAAAAAGGGTCCCATAAGTAAGCAAAAGAGTCAGGGACAGCCCCTGTTCTCTCTGTTAGGATTCCCACAGGAACAGCAATGAATCTCTACATTCAACGTGCAGGATAAATTTTAAGAATAACATGGAATCAAGTGTGTGCATGTCTATCATACTGAGAGTGTTTTTAGTACAGCTCAGAGATCTTGATACTTACTAGGCATTCTGTGTTTGTACTTACTAGGCAAACTGTGTTTGTACATCCAACTTTGGTTTTCTAGCATTTGTACTCTCTCCACCCTATTCAAGCCCAGGCCTTTAACTTTTAATTTTGTTTAATTTTCTGCCCTAAATCTCAAATACCCATGGCAGACATGCTTCAAGATGGTATTATGTAGGTATTTGTTTATAGAAGCTACTCAGAAGAAGACATCATATTTCCAGCAAGACATCAGTAAACAAAGTTTGTATTACTGTAGGGGAAACATTGCACTTGCAAGTGGGAATTCTGTCAAACATAGGCTGGATGCTCATTTGACAATACCTACTTGGTTCCACTGGGGAAAATCTAAGGAATTCTATGAGGAAGTTCCATCACACACAAATTGGTGCCCAGAAGGATCAAGAGAGACTTCTCACTTGAAACTTCCCAAGAAGAATGTAGAACATACTTCAGGAAAATAATTCATTATTTATTATATTAAAGTTTAAAATATAAATGCTAAAACTGTTATATTATGTCATAGT